GAAGATGTAAACAGAGTAGATTCTATTAGTCATCATTCAAAGGTCAGTCACTAACAGCAACCACGCATCAGAGGTCTCTGGAGTTAGACTAGGCAATCAAATGAATGACCACAAGTTATAACAAGTTACACTGCCTTCATATATGAATTAGAAATATTTTATTGTCATCCAATAAGTGCAGTTTTCTAATTTTATTCAGCTTATTAAAATAGCTCAAAAAATGTATGATGATTCCTGACCTCCACAACCCATATATGAAAGAGAGAAAGTGGCTGAGCCTTTTTTTGACACATACAATCTTACTCAAAGTAATCAATATCTAACAAATAGCCTGAAAATGTAGAGTGAAGGCAAGCCAGTCAGTTAACTTGGCATTTAAGTCTGCTGGTCACCAGAAAACCACTTTGCTTGATTAACTCTGTAAAATATGCATTGCATTTCTTTTGAGGACTCTGAATTTTTATATAGAAAAATATTTTGGTGGTGAAATGGTTTAAATCATTTGGTTATTACCAGAAAGATCAGTTTTTCAAACTGAACAATTCCTCTATGAACGAAAAGCCCTGTGATATACTTCTAGAAAGATTTCAACCTAGGAAATTCTATGGGAAGTTCTACTCTGCCAGTTGGTTCCCTGTGATTCAGAATCAATGAAATAGCATACAACAGAAAAGTTTGCATTTGCAAAATAAACTATTATCTTAAGATTATCAGATCTTGTGTTATATAGAAAAAAGGTAAAGTATCAATAATGTATCTATGTAGTTAATACACTCTTGTAACATATTACCTGAAGGTCCTTAAGTCTTTGCAATATCCTTTCTGAAAGTAAAAGTATTAAGGAAAACAAAATATCCAAAACCAAAACCAATCTAGTAGATGTTGTTGTTGTTGTTATGTGCCATTGAGTAATTTGCGACTCACAGCGACCCTATGTACAAGAGCTCTAAACGCTGTTCTATCCTGTGTCAAGTTAGCCATCTCAAATGCACTTATTCCCACCGCTCCAGTCACAGAATCAATCCATCTCATCGAAGGTCTTCCTCTCCTTCGCCGCTCCTCCACTCTGCCAAACATGATGTCCTTCTCCAAGGACCAGTCCCTCCTTGCAACATGCCCAAAGTATGTCAGACGAAGCTTCAGAATCCTTGACTCCAAGGAGCATTCTGGCTTCATCCTCTCCAGGACAAACCTGTTTGTTCTATCAGTCCACGGTATATTCAACACTCTTCTCCAGCACCAAAACTCAAAGGCATCAATTCTCTATCAACACTATTCACTGTCCAACTCTCTGATGCATAGCACGTAATCGTGAAGACTATATCCTGGATCAGGCACACCTTAGTCTCCAGCCTGACTTCATTGCTCTTCAGTAGTCTTGAAAGGCCCCTCACAGCTGGCTTTCCCAATGCAGTTCATCTCTTGATTTCCTGGCTGCTGTCACCAAGAGTGTTGATTGTGGAGCCAAGCAAACTAAAACTATTAACTATCTCAATCTCTTCACCATCCATGCTGATGTTGCAATTAGCCCAGTGGTGAGAATCTTTGTTTTCTTGATGTTGGGCTTCAATCCATATTGAAGGCTGCAATCCTTGACCTTCTGCAGCAAGCGCTTCAGGTCCTCCTCGGTTTCAGCAAGCAGGGTTGTGTCATCTGCATAACGCAGGTTGTTGATGATTCTTCCACCAATCCTGATGCCACATTTCTCTAATAACAAAATTATTATTCTTGAGTACAGCAGCTTTCCAACCTTGATGTCTGTCAAATTCTTCTCCAGTAGAAGAATATGGAAGTCAATAAAAATAAGGAGAAACAGATGTAAACAACCTTTAGTAGTTGGAACATGGAGTGTACAAAGTATGAATGAATGAATGAATTTTGAAGAATGAATGTATGAAGAATGAATTTTGGAAAACTAAAAGTTTTAAAACATAAAGCAGAACACGTAAAATTGACATTCTAGGCATTACTGTTGTTGTTATGTGTCATAAAGTCACTTGCAACTCATAGGAACCCAATGCAAAATAGCTCTGAAACCTGCTCTACCTTGAACTGATTTCTCTCTTGTGACACACCTACTTTTAGCATCCTCATTATTGTGTCAATCTGTCTTATCCAGGGTCTTCCTTTCCTGTGCTCTCCCTTGAGCCTACCAAGCATGATATCTCCCTCCAAACATTGGTCCCTCCTGGCTACATGACCAAAGTAAGTGAGACTGAGTCTCAAAATCCTTGCCTCCAGGGAGCAGCTTGGTTTCACTCTTTCTAGAACATACCTGTTTGTTCTCTAGGCAGTCCATTTTATGTTCAAAATTCTTCTCTAGCACCACAACTCAAAGGCATCAATTCTTCTTTTGTCATCCTTGGTCATTGTACAGCTCTCTGATGCATAGCAAGTAACTGCTAAGAAGATGGTCTGGATCAGGCACACCTTAATCTCTAGACTGAAATCCTTGTTCTTTAGCACTCTGGAGAGGTCTCTAACAGCAGATATCCCTAATGCAATTCATCTTTTGATTTCCTGATTGTTGGTGCCAAGAATATTGACTGTGGAACTGAGCACCCTGAAATTGTTAACAATCTCCATCTCTTTTGAATCTATCACAATGTTGCCAATTGGCCCAGAGGTGAGAATCTTTGTTTTCTTGATGTTGAGCTTCAATCCATATTGCAAACTACAGTCCTTGACCCTTTGCAGCAGATGCTTCAGGTCCTCTTCAGTTTCAGCAAGTAAGGTAGTGTCATCTGCATAATGCAGGTTGTTGAGTCTTCCTCCAATTCTGATGTCACATTCCTTCTCATAAAGTCCAGTTTGTCAAATTATGTGTTCCACATACAGATTGAACAGGCATGAAGACAGGACACATCCTTGATGCACTCCTTTCTAATTTTCAACCATGCAGTGTTTCCTTGTTCTGTTCTGATGACTGATTCCTGATCCAATTATAGGTTTTGCATGAGTACGATCAGGTGTTCCAGGATCCCCATTTTTCTCAAGGTTAACCACAATTTGTTGTGATCCACATAGTCAAATATCTTTCCAGAGACAATGAAATGCAGACATCACTCTGGTACTCTCTGCTTTTGGTCAAGATCCATCTGACATTGGCAATGATGTCCCTATTGGCATTGGTCGCTTTGAATCAATCACATGATATGCTGTGCCTGAATTAAAAAAAAAAACCACCAGAAGAATGCTATTGTATTCATAGATTAAAAACATTCAAGTTCTATTTTGAAATACAATATTATGAGTGATAAGATATTGTCCATGAGCATACACGATATGACTATTATTCAAATATATATTCACAAATATGTAAAAAAATTAAAACAAGAAAACAAAATGTCATGACATAATGTTCAGAGAGCTAGAATAAAAAGGGAAGAACTCAAAAGGCTTGCCTCAATCTGAAAGAAGTGAAATCAAATTCAAGCCTCAAGTTGCAATGCTGAAAGATTCTATAGTAAAAATCTTGAAAGATCTAGGAATCGCAAAAATAAGAGAAAATACACAGAATCACTGTATCAAAAAGAATTGGCCAACACTGAAATATTTCAGAAAGTATCATAAGATCAAGAGTCAGTGGCAATGAAGGAAGAAGTCCAAGCTGCAATGAAGGTATTGGTAGAAAGAAAAAAGGCCCCGGGAATCAATGGCATATTAACTGACATGTTTCAAATAACAGATGTCGCCCTGAATATGCTCATCAGTCTGTGTCAGAAAATTTGGAGGACAGCTATATGGCTGAAAAAGATACATATTTGTTCCATTCCCAGGAGAGACAATCCAACAGAATGTGGAGATTATTAAACAATATCATTATTATCGTATGCAATCAAAATGTTGCTGAAGATCATTTAAAAATGGCTAGAACAGTACATAGACAAGGAAATGAAAGAAGTTCAAACAGGATTTAAAAGATGCCATGGCAACAGGGATAGCATATACAAAGGATGTGTGTGTGTGTGTGTGTGTGCACGTGTGTGTGTTTTCAGAGACAATGAATCTCCCGCGAGGAGACTGCCCATCTTTCTCCTGTGGAATGGCTGGAAGATTAAAAGCATGTAGTACCTTTGTGTTGGCTGCACAATTCCTGTGTGCATGTCATCAAGAAGGACACCATACTTGAAGAGCAGAGTGCCAATGAAGGAGAGGCAGACCTTCAACAAGATAGCTTGACACAGTGACTGCAGCAACGGATTAAAGCTCAGCAGAGATTGTGAGGCTGGTACAGAACTGGGAAGAGTTTCATTCTGCTGTGCATATGGTTTCTATGAGTTTTAGTCAGTTCGGCATCACCTAACAACAGCAAAGATAGTTTTGATTCACTCTGGGATTCCCTGGGTAAGCCGTTAAGTGCTAACTAGAAGATCCCATATTTTGAACCCATCCAAAAGCACACTGCAAGAGAGACCTGGCTATTTGTTACTGCAAGTTGACACCCTCGACAGCCTTACAGCAGACAGTTCTGCTCTGGCACACATGGGGTCACCAAGAATCAGGACCAACTAGACAACAACTGGTTTGCTTTTGAAATGGATGCACCCTAAGTTGAGCAAACCACTGCTGCAAGTGGAAGAGTGACAGCAGAAAGATAAAATGGTGAAAAGAAGAAGGAAAATGAAGAAATTGCAAAGGGAAAGAGAAAATGTTTAAAAGAAAGACATTCAATCCTAGTTAGTGCCATTTCTTGTAGAAGCTTTATTTATAGTTAGGGTGGGCATGTAAATCTGTCCAAGGCAGTAGATAAAGTGTTAACCAAAATCAGAATGTCCATCTGCTTCTGAAGATGTGTGTCAGGGAGCAAGGGAGTGTTCCTATCAGCTGTTCCTAAGAAAGAAAGTAAACACTCCCAACATGCACTGTGGTGTAGGGAGTGGCTCAGGTTTCTAACACTTCCCTGCCCTGCAGTGGTGAAAAGAGGTAGGTAATAATTAACAGCTTCTTGGGCTTGATTGACCAAGTCTAGGGACACTGTTGGAGCAGAGCACAGAGCCATGCTCAGGGACCAGTCCAGTGCTGCCCCTCCTCTAGTGCTGGGTTCAGACCTTGCGTACAGGTGAGTGAACCTCGAAGATCAGCTGTGCGGAGTGCTGACTTGCTGGCAGGCAGACAGCTGGCAACCAGACACTGACTGCCGGGAGCAAACTCTCCTGAGCACGGGTTACCTCTACAACTGAAGAGGCGTCTCCTGCACACAATTATCCTAGGTGAAAACTGGGAGTAAGTAGAGAATGGACCTCCTCTAATTCACTCTCTGAGGACAAGTTGTCAAAAAATAGAATATGTAGATGTCAAAATTATCAGAGCAGCTTTCTTCTTGGTCACTCTGTTTTCTTGAGCAAGCTAGTTGTCTGTCTGCCTGTCTCTGTCTCTCTCTATCTCTCTCTCTGTCTGTCTCTCTGTCTCTCTGTGCATATGTGCATGCTTGCGTTTACATGTATTAGGAGTATATTGGAGAGAAGGTTGAGGACAATAGAGGTTAAGTGTGTCAATTGAATCTTTCCTCCTTTCTCTTCAGAGAATTAGCTTAATGAACACTTCACCTGAAATCTCATGGGCTTAATCTTACAAAGATCCTTCTCTCTTGTGTGGTATCTCCCTCCTCTGAGCATCCTCATGGCTAAAGTATTGTATTGAATCTTTGTATCCTTGGGAGGTCTTTTTAATTGAAATCTCAATCTTGTGTTTCCACAACTTAAGATAGATCATTCTCAGAAACAAAGACACACAATCTTTGAAAAGTATTTCTAATTATTTAAGATCTCACCATGGAGGGAAAAATACTAAGCATAATAATTATAGTTTAGGAGTTAAAGATAACACAGTCTGAAGCTGGACAACTTTAGGTTCAAAACCCAAATTCACTGTTTACTGGTTTGGTCTTCAAGGTGCTCTGGTGGTAAACCATTGAGTGTTAACCTGATAACAAAAGGCCAGGTGACTAAAGCAGTTTGAATCTATCATGACTTTGCAAGAGAAAGGTAGGTAAAAACTACCTAAAACTAGATAAAACTTATGGCCTTAGAAATTTGAACAGGACAAAACTGACTCCATGGCAGTAAAGTTAACCCATCTTAGTTTGACTTTTAAAAAAATTCATATTTTAATGAAAGTTTATATAGAACTTAGATTTCCATTCATTCATTGTTGTGCATTTTTCTCCTTGCCTCCTTGCCCCTCTAGTTCACTTTTCTCTTTGGAAAAAAAAAAATCTTTCATAGTTATACAGTCCGTCACCCTAATCTGCTTTACTATGCAGCTCTTATTCTGGACTTCTGTCATGCCAATACTACCTAATCATACATTCCTTTTATACAGTTCTCTCTTGTCTGATTTAGTGCTTTGTACATTATTTATCCCCTTTTTTCTTAGTTTCCCCGAATCCCCATATCAGTCCTGTTTTATAATAGTGGCATTATGCAATATTTGTCCTTTTGTGAATTAGATACTTCACTCAGCATAATGTTCTCCAGGGTCACCCACTTTGTACAATATTTCATGACTTCCTTATTTTTCAGTGCTGCATAATATTCTATTCTGTGCCTATACCACAGCTTCTTTATCCATTCATTTGTTGATGGGAATTTAGGTTGTTTCTAACTCTTTGTTATTGTGAACAAAGCAGCAATAAACATGGGTGTGCATATATCTTCTTGGGTGGCAGTTCTGGGTTCTTTGCGGTATATTCTTAGTAATGGAATTGTTGGGTTAAATGGTATTTCTATTTCCAACTTTTTGAGAAAGCACCATAGTGCCATCCATAGTGGCTGCACCATGTTAAACTCTCACCAACAGTGAATAAGGGTTCCAGTTTCTCCATATCCTCACCATCATTTGCTGTTTGCTGCTCTGTTGAATTTTGCTATTCTTACTGGGGGGTGAGATGATATTTCATAGTTGTTTTCATTTGCATCTCTCTACGACCTAGAGATTTTGAACATGTCTTCATGTGTTTGTTTACTATCTGAATGTCTTTTTTGGTGAGTGAGTTCATATCGAGTGCCCATTTTTCAATTGGGCTATTTACCTTTATCTTGTGGTACTCGAGCATATAAATTTTAGATATAAGTCCCTTATCAGACATGTCATTACCAAATATTTTTTTCCAAGTCTGTGGCTTCCCTTTTTATCCTGTTGGAGAAGTTTTTGGATGTGCACAGACATTTGATACTTAGAAGGCCCCATTCATCTATTTTATCCTCTCCTGTCTGTAGGTTATCTTTTTAAAAATAGCCATAATAATAATCTGCTACATAAGACTTTGATAGACTGAAATACCTTTCACATTGTAAACATTCTATAATATAGAATTGTAATTGGTCAGTCTGGAGACTAAGATGCACCTGATTCAGGCCATGGTCTTTGCAATTACTTGCTATGTATCAGAAAGTTGGACAATGACTAGGGATGAGAGAAGGAGAATTGATGCCTTTGAGCTGTGGGGCTAGTGAATAGTATTGAATATACCACGGACTACTAGGAGAACAAATAGATTTGTCCTTAAACCAGGCTGCTCCTTGGAAGCAAATTCTGAAGCTTCATCTGACATACTTTGGGCATGTTGCAATCAGAGGCCAGTCCTTGGAGAGGAATGTCATGCTTAGGAGGGTGGAGGGACAGTGCAAGAATTGAAGATCCTTGATGACCTGGGTTGACTCAGTGACTGGAGTCGTGGGGAATTGGTGTGTCATCAGAGACAATAAGATTGGCACAGGTTAGTGCAGAGTATAGAACCGTTTTACACAGGGTCACTATGAGTCGCAAACAACTTGATGGCACATAAACAACAACAACAATAATATAATTTGTATTATATGCCAATATAAATGATACTTCAAATTAGGGAGTTCTGGTGGCCTGGTCTGTAGAGAGTTACGTTGCTAGCCCAAAAGTTGGGACTGTACTGGTTCAAATCCAACAGCGGTTTCAAGGGGGAAAGACAGGCAGTTTCCTCCTATATACTTCCAAAACCAAATGAACTTTGGGTGGATGATTACAATTAAGGAATAAGTATCTCTGCTTATTCAAACAAGCCATATGAGGGGCAGTGAGCTGAGCTGGGCAAACCAGACAGTGTAGGGGCACTTAAGAACTGGTTTCCAGAGAGTGAGTCCAGAATGAGTGAGCAGGTGACATGTGGCACAGTAGCAATGAAATGACTTGGCTGGTTGCCACTTTTCAAAAAGTGCCAGTAGAGGTAAATGCACATTTACACACTCAATTATTTTAGTTGAAACTCTTAAAAATATTATTTTTACAAAGAAAACCAGAATCTTGTAGTAAAAAAAGTTATGTTGTTGTTGTTATGTGCCATCGAGTCGCCTGCGAATTATAACGACCCTTTGTACAACAGCCCTAAACTCCGCCCTGTCCTGTGCCAATCGCACTGTCTCCAACACTCCCATCCCAATTACCAGTCACTGAATCAATCCACCTCATAGAGGGCCTTCCTCTCCTACGCTGTCCCTCCACCCCCCCGAGCATGATGTCCCTCTCTAAGGACTGGTCTCTCCTCACAATATGTCCAAAGTATGTTAGACGGAGCCTCAGAATCCTTGCCTCCAAGGAG